GGCGTGGATTTTTAAGCAATATTTCCAACAAGGACTACCATAGACATAGGCGTGGATTTTTAAGCAATATTTCCAACAAGGACTACCACAGACACAGGCGTGGATTTTTAAGGAACATTTTCTCCCAGGACTACCACAGACATAGGTATGGATTTATAAAGAATATTTTCTCTAAGGACTATGACAGCCATAAGCGTGGATTTTTAAAAGAATTATTTTCTCCAAGGACCACCACAGACATGGGCGTGGATTTTTAAAAGAATTATTTTCTCCAAGGACCACCACAGACATGGGCGTGGATTTTGAAGGAATATTTCCTCCAAGGATTACCACATCCATAGGTGTGGATTTTTAAGGAATATTTCCTCCAAGGACTACTACAGGCATAGGCATGGATTTTTAAGGAATATTTCCTCCTAGGACTACCACAGACATAGGCGTGGATTTTTAAGGAATATTTCCAACAAGGACTACCACAGACATAGGGGTGGATTTTTAAAGAATTATTTTCTCCAAGGACTATCACAGCTATAGGCATGGATTTTTAAGGAATATTTTCTCCAAGGACTACCACAGACATAGGCGTGGATTTTTAAGGAATATTTTCTCCAAGGACTACCACAGACATAGGCGTGGATTTTTAAAAAATATTTCCTACAAGGACTACCAAAGACAGAGGCGTGGATTTTTAAAATAATTATTTTCTCCAAGGACTACCACAGACAGAGGCGTGGATTTTTAAGGAATACGTCCTCCAAGGAATTCCACAGTTATAGGAGTGGATTTGTAAGGAACATTTTCTCCAAGGACTACCACAGACATAGGAGTGGATTTTTAAGGAATATTTCCAACAAGGACTAACATAGACATAGGCGTGGATTTTTAAGGAATATTTCCAACAAGGACTACCATAGACATAGGCATGGATTTTTAAGGAATATTTCCAACAAGGACTACCATAGACATAGGCGTGGATTTTTAAGGAATATTTCCTCCAAGGACTATCACAGACATAGGCGTGGATTTTTAAGGAATATTTTCTCCAAGGACTACCACAGACATAGGCGTGGATTTTTAAGGAATATATAAAGAATATGAATAAAAATCCACGCTTCGGGAAAGGCCCCTAGAAAATGTTATTAAAAATTTTGTAGTAATTGATTTTTTTTTTTTCAAAATCCACCTTGTTTATACACATTTAAATATGAGAATATATATCTGTCTATTCATTACACAGTTTCTATATTTAATTTTCAACAAATTTGTAGCATTGACACTGTACTTAATCCACAATAATTATTCAATGTTAAATGTTTTATTGTTTTGGCCCCGAAAGAGTATTAATGGACGATTTGTTAAATTTAACGAATGTTTTTATTTTTCAAAATGCAAAAAACATGAATATTAAAAAAAATAATTGCTAATTGTTTGTTGGCAATGTGTTCTTTTATATTTCAAGAAAAAATTATAAAACATGTTGGTCAGTAGTTTATGTTAAGCCCTATTTACATGAACAAAAAATATTATTAAAAAAAATAATCGGGCATGTTCTGACATTCACTTCAACGGCAGAAGTGTATCGAACACACGCCGAGGTGTTCTGTAACACACTTTACACCCATTTGAGGTGTATTCTTTACACTTACATTTCCATAGTGAGAGTCGGGTGTATTCCTGTTTTTTCATATAAAAGAACATCTTTTTTGGAATAAAAAACGCACATGATGATAGATTGATATGTTATTATTGCGTATAATTTGATTAAAATCATAAAATGAACATGAAACACCATTAAAAACAAATTTTAAATAGATACTTGAATTTTCTTCAACTGAATTTCTTGCTTGACACAAACAGCTGATTTGATGTAAGGCCGAAAAAGATAGGGTTACCAAATGTTCCCCCTAAATCAATCAACAATTTAATGATATTACAGAGGTTTCATACATATATTTTATGTTGTGAATAATAAAATATTAAAAAATAATAATAAAATTGTCGTTAGAATTAACGAAATTACTAAAAAATTACAGAAGCAATGTTAAAAACGAATACAGTTTATATTGAATGGCAACACTATTTCTGCAAAGTACCATGTCGACGTTTATTTTTGTCGCAGTTCAAAATTTCAATTCACGTGAGAAGCAGAACAGGAGGTAGCTTCTGAGGTGAAGTGTATGTGTAAAGTGAAAAGAACACGCCGTGAGTTCCAGAACATACCCGAATAATTATAAAATTTCTGAAATGTAGCAATCATATCCTAAAATATCTAATTTTTTTTTCAAATTCAGATTAGAATGAAAATCCCCTTGGAGAAATAGTTATGGTGATCCCTTTGAAGAGAAATTCAAATTCTTTTAAGAGACCAAGTAAACAAATGTAAATCTTTTTTGTATTTTTTCCCACAAACTGTACACCAATATTTTAATACAGAAAAAATAATGAAATAAGCTCTATATATATGTAGCGCGCACACACGTTCTAAATAATTTAAAAAATGCCAACAAATTGTCAGTCAAATATTGGCCACGAGTACGCCAACGAAATTTCAAAATTAGTTCAAACTTTCACTTGTAGCAGCAGTCACCACCACCAACCACATCATCAAAAATATTGTCGCATTTTTTGAAATTATTTCAATTTAATTTTAAAGGTGTTTAATGACATCAATGTCTATTCTTACGTGGACTGTTTTCCTCTCATTTTGTGGGGGGAAACTAGAAAAGAAAATTATAGGAAACGTCTGTCTAATTGCAATCATTTAAGGAGGCCGATGTCTTCCATGTGAAGATCATGTTGTGAGGGTGTGTGTGATTTTGGCTTTTACCTCTGCAAAAAAATTCATCTAATGTCAAAAATGTAGTTTTCTTCCCAATATAATTATGAATTATGAGAACGAGCGAGTTCGGTTTGCATTGACCCAAATTCTTGCTGAGGTGTGTCCTACACAATTTCGTTAAAAAAAATTAGATATTTGCAGATGTTTCAATGAAATATGGCCACGAAATTATATTGAAATTTGTGGCCAGGTGTCCACTGAAATTTGATTGATATTTTCTAATTTTATTATAATCAAACTATTGTAGCTGACAAAATTATTTGACAAATTATTACGTTGTTTTTCATTTGAAAAAAAAAAAATGGGGGATTGACAATATAATTTTAATAGTATTAAGGATTTTTAATAAGGAATATTTTGAAATAGATTTTAATGGGTGGAATATTTATAAATAAGATTTTGTCTCTATTTCCATTTTTTTAAATGAATATTTCCTCTATGGACTATGACAGCCATAGGCGTGGATTTTTAAAGAATTATTTTCTCCAAGGACTATCACGGCCATATGCGTGGATTTTTAAAGAATTATTTTCTCCAAGGACTATCGCGGCCATAGGCGTGGATTTTTAAAGAATTATTTTCTCCAAGGACTATCACAGCCATAGGCGTGGATTTTTAAAGAATTATTTTCTCCAAGGACTATCACAGCCATAGGCGTGGATTTTTAAAGAATTATTTTCTCCAAGGACTATCACGGCCATAGGCGTGGATTTTTAATCACAGCCATATGCGTGGATTTTTAATCACAGCCATAGGCGTGGATTTTTAATCACAGCCATATGCGTGGATTTTTAATCACAGCCATAGGCGTGGATTTTTAATCACAGCCATATGCGTGGATTTTTAATCACAGCCATAGGCGTGGATTTTTAATCACAGCCATATGCGTGGATTTTTAATCACAGCCATAGGCGTGGATTTTTAATCACAGCCATATGCGTGGATTTTTAATCACAGCCATAGGCGTGGATTTTTAAAATAATTATTTTCTCCAAGGACTATCACAGCCATAGGCATGGATTTTTAAAATAATTATTTTCTCCAAGGACTATCACAGCCATAGGCGTGGATTTTTAAAACAATTATTTTCTCCAAGGACTATCACAGCCATAGGCGTGGATTTTTAAAAGAATTATTTTCTCCAAGGACTATCACAGCCATAGGCGTGGATTTTTAAAAGAATTATTTTCTCCAAGGAATATCACAGCCATAGGCGTGGACTTCACGGGCAGAATGGATTTAAAAAAAAATGTTTCTATTAAAGACGAGGTGAGGATTTTTAAAAGAATTATTTTCTCCAAGGACTATCACAGCCATAGGCATGGACTTCACGGGCAGAATGGATTTAAAAAAAATGTTTCTATTAAAGACGAGGTGAGGATTTTTAAAGAATATTTCTGCGGAACTACCAGTCATTGGCGAAAATGTTTGAAAAAATATTTCCTCCAAGGAATATCAGAGCCATTGTCGTTAATTTTTTAGGATATATTTCTTCCGCAACTATCACAGACAGAGACTTATATTTTTAAGGAATATTTCTTCCAAGGCTTCGATTTTTCACAATAACTTTCATAACGACAAGGACATTATTGTTAAAATAGGAAAATTAGGACATTCAATAATCGACAATAAACGTAGGATCCTAAAATGTTTATTTTTTATTTAAAGTATTTCAAAATTCTAATAAATCTGTGATCGTGAGTCTGTTCACGTTTTTATTGTATACATTTTTCATAATTTAATTAAAAATATCACAATTTCCCAATTTAGATTTCTTAGAAATAAATGTCTAAATAATTTAAATTCCATAATATATTAAATTTAATTAATTAAATATTTACACACAAGCAATTATATATGTTCATTGAACCACAACAAGGCTAAAGAGGAACTATAAAATTATGACGTCTTTAGAAGAAAAAAAATCATTTTAATAATTATAATTATTAGTGACTTGGTCACCATTATAATTAAAACAAGAAAAAATTAAATAATTAAAAATATAATATATCATGTGATTTGGCGGCGGGAATAATTTCATTTCCACATTTTCATCCCACAAATTTAAATAAAGCGATAAAAAAATCGCATTTACTCAGCAAAACGAAAAATAATAATAATTGTCATAGCGATGAAAGAAATTTGCATTTAATGTAAAAACTTAACAATATTTTCTATTTAAACGCAAATTGTTGCGCTAAAAGATTGATGATTATGGATGGGGTCCAATCAACCATACATCCATTTAAAATTCAGTTTTTTTGTCACTTACCTCTTTTTCTTTATCTTTTTCCTCATTATCGTTGGCAGAATCTTGTTTCTCTGGATCTAGTTCCTGTAAAAATGCAAAATAAAACGACGCATTTTAATCACAATAAATTATATCAATGATGTAAAGGAAAAAAGATAAATTATTTGCAAGTGTTACACAAAAGTGATTCTGTTTTGAAAACAAAAAAATGTAATGTATTGCAGTTTGAATGTATGATCTGCTGCTGCTGCTAGTGATCTATCTTTCGTTTTTGGGAAAGAGTTATTAATATTTTTCTTCAATATTTGTATAAACAAAACATGCAAAGACCCATTAAAAGTTATTAAATAACAATGAACTTGTAAAGAACATATTATTGGTTAATATTTTTGGGCATGCCGTAATTTTTATTAAATTCCGTCATATGGGAAGTATACCATTTGTAAATGGAACTTTGAATGGTTTATGATTGGTATTGGAATTTATTGATATTTTATAGTTAATTAAAGTATTGTAATATAATTTAATATAATAACTAAAAAAAATATGTTGATATTTAAATAGATTTCATAATCATTCAAAATATTTGTTGAAGGATTCACGCTCAATTATTTCACAAAATAAAAAAAAAACTACGATGAAAGAATACAACCAATCGGCTTTTCTAACTTCCCTTTAATTTATATGAAATGTAATATAGGTCCCATTAAGTACCATTTTTAATAGACTTCTGTAAACGGCTAGGAATATCACAGACAAAGCCGTGAAAGCATATGATCCTGCAGAGACTGTCTTAGTCATAGGAGTGGATTTTTAAAGAATTATTTTTCCATGGACTTTTACAGCCATAGGCGTCGATTTTTAAAAGAAATATTCCCTCCAAGGACTACTATGTAAATCTTTTAAAAAAGTATTTCTTTCATGAACTAACACAACCATAGACTTGTTTTCTTAATTTTTTCCTTCAATGACAATCATAGCCATAGGCGTGGATTTTTTAAGAAATATTTCCTCCAAGGACTATCATAGACATAGGCGTGTATTTTTTAAGAAATATTTTCTCCAAGGACTATCATAGCCATAGGCGTTGATTTTTAAAGAAACATTTCCTCCGACGACTATCATAGCCATTGGCGTGCATTTTTTAAGAAATATTTCCTCCGAGGACTATCATAGCCATAGGCGTGAATTTTTAAAGAAATATTTCCTCCAAGGACTATCATAGCCATAGGCGTGAATTTTTAAAGAAATATTTCCTCCGAGGACTATCATAGCCATAGGCGGTCATTTTTAAGAAATATTTCCTCCGAGGACTACTATAGCCATAGCGGTCATTTTTTAAGAAATATTTCCTCCGAGGACTACTATAGCCATAGCGGTCATTTTTTTAGAAATATTTCCTCCGAGGACTACTATAGCCATAGCGGTCATTTTTTAAGAAATATTTCCTCTTAGCCATAGGCGAAAGGACAATCAGAGCTTTAAACGTGGAATTCTTATAGAATATTTATGTTGGAATATAAGAAATGGTTAATAATATTCTTAATGGATTATCAGAATTTTAAGAGAAAATTTTTACTTATAAATTATGTACGCCATGTTAATCTATTTGTACGATCTTGTATGAACCATATGGGTACCGAGCTACACAGGCAATGAGATATCCAACCCATTTGCCAGAAGTGTTACGGTCAATGCTAAAACGAAGCAATGCAACAACATTTAGAGTAACACGTCTTTAGAATAACGAGGGTACTGGCAAAGAATACAACATCATTGGAAGGCCTATATGAAAGGAAAAAAGGAAATCAACGGACTGAGAGGTATTCTCTAAAGATACCATAGCCTGCAGTCACATTTACACAAGATTGAGTGCCGGAAAGTAGCAAAGGTATATATATATATATATATATAATTTCCTATGCCACTCTCCAACTTTTTCTAGCCATCAAACCTAATTCTTCGAAAATTATACTGTACACGAATTGAACGACATAAGGAGGAGTGAATGAAAAATATGAATGATTTAACTATGAACACAGAGGTCCTAGAATCTAAAGATGCTTCTTCAATGTTCTTCCTTTCTACAACGCAAAAATGTTTTTGAGTTGGATTAAAAATTTCATGTCTCCGTTAAATCTTCAAAAAATAAAAAATAAAAAATAATAGCCTTATTCAAGGATTTAATAAATTCTATATATCCTATATAGGACCCTTTAAATATATATTTTAAAAAGCAACGTTTTGGCGGTTTTACCAGAAGAAGTGTATCGATATTCCCCATGTTCTAACATAAACTAAATATTACAATGAGCAAAGTTTGGACGAAATCGGATATTCCCTTCGAGAGTTATCGTGCGCACCAGATGGACGGACATTTGTATATCGACTCCGAATTGTCTGTAACAGATTTGGTCCAAAGAGACACTATTTCTATGAAGCACATTTTTAATCAAAGATCAAAGTGTATATATATATATACCCTCATTAGCCATAAGGCCGAGGGTTTAAAAAAACGGGAGCAACTGACTCAGAATCGTTATGTGGGAGAAATTCTGTATCCTGGGACTGAATTGATTTTTTTCTGATATCACATTATTTTAACATTGAAATTCAAAGTAAATTGTAGTCATTTCCACTGGAAAATATGCGTAAAAACTTCAAGAAACGTGCACAACTAAGATTGTTCCCTAAAATATTGATCAACGTAATAATATCAATCAAAAAAACATTCGAATAGGTTGGAATCCATTTAAGACGAAAAGAAAAGATAATGGGCAAAATGAATATATAATATTTTATATAGAGCTCCGAAAAAAATTAATATATTTATATGCACTACATCCATTCTTCTCCCTTGTTTTATTTCATATACAAACTATTTTGCAATCTATATCCTAAACTGTTCAGTTTTTATATAAGTGAACTTACATCCATATCAATATGTACAACACCAGTTGAGCGACGTTTTGGTTTTCTTCGTCGTTGTATAACAGCTTGGGTAGCCAAAGCACTACGATTATCATTTTCCTTGTCGTTATCTGGGATAAAAGATGGAGAATGCAAAAAAAATAATAATTATTATTTTCAATTGAAATATTTTTTTTTTTAATATCCCTACCTTTATCATCATTATTGCTAAGACTGCTCGATGTGGCGGAGGTGGTTGCTGCGGTGGCCACTGACGATGATGTCTCCGAATTTAAGGCATTTGCATTGGCACTGGTGGCACGACGTGCTGAATATGAAGAACCAATACCACTACTACTGGTGGTGGTCGTGGAGTTATTGGTTGTGGAACTGTTATCAATTGTTTTGTCATCACTCTTTTGATTGCTGGTAATGGAACTGGTATTGTTTGTTGTTGCTGAGGAGGTGTGGGTGTTTGCTGATGAGGCGGCGGCTGTGGTGCTGCTGTGGCTTAAATTACTAATCGGTGGTGCCGAAACGGGTCTACCAATTGAATTCAATGATGTGTTCGATGAAGAAACTAGAGGAAAAAAATTTGGGGAAGAAGTTTAGTAGAATAATTGTAAAGAAATACATTTCATGTGTGTCTACTTACTTGCATTATTGACATTGTTAATTCTGCGCTGTGACATGGAATTGGCAGCAGCAATAACCGCTGGAGCACTGGGTATAATGGTGCTATTGGTCGGTGGATATGTACTGCCGGCATTGGCATCCTCTAATTTAAACTGTTTGTTTTTGTGGTTGTTGTTGATTTTTGTGGTAACAAGTATAAAAGATATGTCATTGTTAGAAAGTGTTTTTGTAGTGAGTTTTTTGTTGTATTTTAAAATATTAAAATATTATATTTTGTATTGTTTTGTTTAATGTTGTTTTTAATGTTGATTATTTGTTGTTGTTTAGTTTCTTAATTGTTAATATTTTTTTTGCATTGTTGTTTATATTGGAATATTGAATAGTATTGTTTTTTGGCATTAATTCTAGTCTACTTGAATAATTGCAAAAAACCCATTAAGCAGCTGTGGTATTATGTTATCATCTTGCATAGCTGTACCTTTTGCCTTGTACTATAAAAAAACTACCGCAACCATGTTTTTTTTTTTATTTAGTAAAAAAGAGAACCTTTTCCCAAATTGAAATAAAAGTAAACCAAAAAATAGCATATGGACTGAAAGTTCGGAAAATGTGCGTTTAAGGCAAGAATAAGTTTTATAGTTTTAGATACAATTGTGATGTGATTGCTGCCAAAGAGGCTAGTTAGGTTAAATCGAATAATTTGTGTAAATAAAAAAACTTCTTTATCTTTTTTTGCAGGAGAAAACATGTTTATAATCTGTTGAAGGAAAACGATTTCCGATAGAGATAAATATTTGGCTTATCTATAGTAGATGTGGAACTTTTGGTATTTATGTGGAACTTTTGGTATTTATTAAAATGGAAGGATAAAAATGTCATGTCAAATTTTTGACCGATATTGAAGAATACGACTTGGTAGAGCTGGAACTGGAGGATGTGTATTTTATCTAAGAAGACTATATTGAATAGGACAACATAGAAATTCCAAATTTGCGATTCTTTCTGATCATACCTCGAATAACAAGTAAAAAGCCCGATGGAAACCAGATTGGTAAAATATCAAAGATTGGGGAAATATCGGTATTTAAAAACGGTATTCTCTTGACAGAATCAAGAAAATTTGAACGACAATTACACAACTATCAAAGATTGGGGAAATATCGGTATTTAAAAACGGTATTCTCTTGACAGAATCAAGAACATTTGAACGACAATTACACAACTGCGAATCTATATGCACTACCATACTTTTTCAATGGCCTGATCGTCTTCAAAGTGTAAAATTTCGCATGGGTGAGAATTGTAGCCTCAAGAGAGATAAGAACCAATAAGGAAAGTTCAAGAGCCGTACGGGGCCGACTATATGATACCCTTTACCACTTTGGGTACATACAAGAGATGTTCATATGTACAATATACTTTTGATAGAATATACATAGCATCTTTGAAGGACCATTGAAATGGTATCGGACGAAATTAAATGCGTTCATAGATATTTCAACTAAAATAAATGAACCCGTACACATACCAATCTGAAATTTATGAAAAATTTAGTGTTAATGCTCCATATGTAATGCTATATATAAATCTCAACCGATTGCAAACAGACCTTCGTCTACATCAATCTAGAACTAATTCAGTACTGTGCAAAATTTAGTCTCAATCTACCAATATTGGCAGTACTGTGCTCCATTTATCTAATCTAAATTATATATATCTAAATAAAAGCCAATTTCAACAAAACTTGGCATACATCAATCTAGACCTAATTCAGTAATCTTTGTAAAATTTTGTCTCCATGGACCAATATTTGAAGTTTGGTGCAACATTTACATAAAATTGGACGAAACTATATATGGGAGCTATATCTAAATCTGAACCGATTCCAAGAAAACTTTGCCTACATCAATCTGGACCTAAGTCAGTACGCTGTGCAAAATTTGTTCTCGATAGGATCAATATTTGAAATTTTTGGTGCACTATTTACATAAAATAGGACGAAACTATATATGGGAGCTATATCGAAATCTTAACTGATTTTCCCAATTTCAATAGGGTTCGTCCCTTGGCCAAATTAGTGACATGTGTCAAATTTCATTCAAATCGGATCATAAATGCGACCTGTACTTTGTTTACAAAAATACATGAACGGACATGCATAAATCGACTCAGAAAGTGATTCTATGCATATTCTCATCAAAAGGAACCATAGGTCTATCTCGATTCCATTTGCCAGTTGTACCACAGTGTGGTGAAGGATTTAAAAACTAACAAGAAAAAAATATGGTAGTCTATATGATGCCTTAATTATTCAGCGATCATTACCAACAACTATAGGTATCGCTTTGAACAGAACCTACACGCTGAATATTGAACTATAGTTGCGGACACAAATATCTAGATCGATTCAAGCAGTCGGGATGTGACGAACGGTATACAAAAATGTAGGTGTACGACCATTATTTCGTGGTATATTATAAACTGTTGGGCCAGGGTATAGCTCTTGGGTGGAAAATTATTTTCTGACGCCTTAAAGAATAACTTCTTTAGGAGAAGACCTCAGGATTTTGTAAAGAACAGACGGACAGTGAAGACCAAATAATATTCTATGCAATAGAAGACCAATGTTATTTTTCTATAGAAGGCCAAATGATATTATATTTTTCTCACAAGGGAATCTGTTCTCAATTGAAGGAGTATATATAGTATAAAAATCACAAACTCAAAGAGTTTTCTATATTGTATGGGGGTTGCAGGCCAAAAGACCTTATTCAATTTATAAAAATACATTGAAGGTCTATAGAAGACTTTATGGTGTTCTAAGGAATAATTGATCAATGGGCCTCCTTTAGAATATAAGATCGAAGGGGTTTCTATGAAACCAAGTGGTCCTCTTGCCATGACAGTGAAGAATAATCTCTATGCAATAGAAGAACAAATTCTTTTTCTGTAGTAGACCAAATGATAGACTATTTTTCTCCCAAGGTGGTGAGTAATCAATAGAAGGTCTTAGGAGGATATATAGTATAAAAATCACAAGCTCAAAGGGGTTTCTATATTGTATAGCGGTTCCAGGCCAAAAGACCTTATTCATTTAATAAAAATACATTGAAGGTCTATAGAAGATTTTATGGTGTTCTAAGGAATAGGTGATCAATGGGCCTCCTTTAGAACATAAGATCGAAGGGGTTTCTATGAAACCAAGGGGTCCTCTTGCTATGACAGTGAAGACCAAATAAGTTTCTATGCAATAGAAGAACATTTTTTTTTGTAGTAGACCAAATGATAGTCTATTTTTCACCCAAGGGGTATGTAATCAATAGAAGGTCCTAGCAGGTTATATAGTATAACAATCAGAAGCTCAAAGGGGTTTCTATATTGTATAGGGGTTCCAGGCCAAAAGACCTTATTCATTTTATAAAAATACATTGAAGGTCTATAGAAGATTTTATGGTGTTCTAAGGAATAAGTGATCAATGGGCCTCCTTTAGAATATAAGATCGAAGGGGTTTCTATGAAACCAAGGGGGTATGTAATCAATAGTAGGTTATAGGAGGATATATAGTATAAAAATCACAAGCTCAAAGGGTTTTCTATATTGTATAGGGGTTCCAGGCCAAAAGATCTTATTTAATTTATATAACTACATTGAAGGTCTATAGGACTATAGAAGTCTTTATGGTGTTGTAAGGAATAAGTGACCAATGGGCCTCCGAAGGGGTGTCTATGAAACTTAAGACCCAAAAATCTTCTATGTCCTTCAGGACTTTTATAGATGTCGGAAATGAAGTCATTTTGATATTCGATCAAAATAAAAGTCGATTTGATGGGTTTTTTATTACAGAGGAATTTGGTAGGTTTTATATGCTTTTCTATTGAAAAAATTTAAATGAAGAAAATTAGGCTTATAAGATTTTTTTGGATTTCAATTAAAAAAACATTTTTTTGGCCTACAACAAAAAAAAAGTTTGGAAAAATGTGGACTGGTAACTTTGTATAGATATTTTTTTTTAATTATTAAGAAGACATTTTGATCAAAAATGTGATCTAATCGAGTAATAAAGTAATTTCGCACTTAGCTTATTCATAGTATATTGGTTTGAAAAATAATAAAGCACCTGCTTTTTCTGGCTATGAAAAAAATTAACTCAGCATTTTCGTGGCTTTGAGGAATGCAGAAAGGCTCCTTAAATATAAAAAGCTCTAATACAAATAAATAATAATTACAAATTAAAAACAACTGTTTTACCAATTTCAAATATGTAAATTATTAAAAAATTATATAGTAAATACTACCACAATATATTATACTACAATTTAAGAAACAAAAAAATCAATTTTTTAAATATTGAAAGAATGCAACATTTAGATGACAAATGATCTGCGTTTTACAACAAAGACAAAACGAAATAATATCGAAACATAAAAAACAACAATGAAAGCAGCAATATCAGCTTAAAACAAAGAATACATAAAAGTGATAAAAAATAGAGTTAGTAGTGATTGAGGAAACGGAAACAGAAAACGATATAACGGATTACAAAGACATGTAAAAGACATTGATTGAATGAGAATTGAGAATGAACAGTGCCGTAGGCTGTAATTTAGAAAAGTAAATAATAAGAAAATTGAGGCTGATGTCACAGGGCGTTTTAAAGCTTGGCTTTTACAAAAGACCTGCTGCTATGCGAGCGAAACGAGGAGCAAAGGCAAAAGAACATAACCTAGGATACTACTATAAATACTATTATAATCAAAATACACTATGCTACAAAAAAATAAAGATAAAATTAGTTGGCATAATTTTTTTCTGGTGTTTAAATGAATAACTTTTTTAGGAGAAGACCTCAGAATGTTTTTTTTAAGTAATAAATCACAAAGAGGCCCTCTTGCTGTAACACTGAAGACCAACGAATAGAATACCAAAATTGTTTCCTGTATATAATAAGAGACAAATAATATTCTATTTGTCTCCCAAGGGCGTCTGTAATCAATCAAAGGTCCTAGGAGGATATATAATATAAAAATCACAAGCTCAAAGGGTTTTCCATATTGTATGGAGGTCTCAGGAGATTTTTACATTGTATAGAAGGCCAAAATACCTTTTTATTCCCTTCACCACACTGTGGTACAGGGTATTATGTCTTTGTGC